CAGAATGCGTTGGCCTTACGTCGGCTATTCGACTCTTCCCGCCTCCGGTCTCTACCATAGCCCGTAACTTCCCATACGCACCCGGCGCATCTTCCCGCCCGGGTTTATCCCCCTCCGTTTCGGCCCAGCTCACCTCCTCCGTGCCTCATCCTGCTCCCCTCTCCCTCTTACTCAGTACCTAGTAACAACGCGCAAAGCCCTCTCTCTCTCTCGTTGCCAGGCGAGGATGAATCTTCCCCTAGAACGCGGATAGATACATCAGAACCTTCCACCTGTCGTATTCTCCCCCTTCTAACTTACTCCCTCCACACCACCTTTCCACTAGATCTGACCTCGTAGTCAGCTTCGCCAACCTCCAAAACATCAGACCTGCACCTTTGTTCGTGAGAAATGGACCAGCAACGAAGGATCAGCCACAATTTCGTTCCCGTTCGTTCTCATCCTACCATAGCCCATAAACACTTTTCTCTTTCTGACTCTAATCCTACTCAACTAACACTAAAACTAACACTATTACGTGAATCGTTTAGGGTAAAACCCCCGGGGTCGTCCCTTTTTCTTGCTTCCATTCAGGGTCGAGAGTGCGGGGTGTGCTCCGCTGCGTCCAGCACCAGCCCCCGCCACCACTACCTTCCCTCTGTCGAAAGTACCCAGGCGCGAATCCGAGCCGGATTCATCCCCCAACCTTACCGCGTTACCCTGAAGCCTCGGTGCCCGTCTCGCTCAGTTCGTCGCCACTTTGTCAGCGCCTGCACTTAGCGCTGCCCCCTGTGCCGGTGCATCCTCCTCTTCCTCCACCATCATCCTTTCCCACTAACCGCATTCGGCCGCCTGCTCCAGCTCACCGTTCTCCCCCTTCTGGCCCCGTCAAGTTCGCTGCGCCATTCCCTCCGTTACGACTGCTCGTCGGTCCGCCCGGAAGCACGCGACGAGAAAGTGAGTGAGCAGAAAAACCCGAGCGCTCGGGTCCCTGCTCAATTTATGCGTGTCGACTTTACGCAGGAGCCACGCTAACCTCCCCTGTGTCGTCCCTCTTCCAACAGATGCCCCGAAGGACCTGGCCGCCTTGATAGGCGCCCCTCCGTGCTTCCGAAGGCCGACCGGCCTTTCCCTCCCCCATCGCACGCACGTAGTGCATTTTCCGTCCGTGTTCACCCCCGGACTCTCTGCAATCGGGCAGCGGCCAGCGGATCTTCCCTGTGTCACTCCACAGTTTACGAATACCCTATTGATGTCAGCGCCCCACGATCTTTCTGCCTGTATGTCACCACTACGTACGGGCCATGCTAATCTCCTCTTATCCCTCACGCGCCCTCCCCTGGCGCGGCTCCCAACTAGATTCACGCAGGCCCTCGACAACCTCCCCTTTTGCTTTTGGCACGCCCCTAACCCGGTTCGCGTCCGGGTTCGTTCCCGGACCTTTTCCCTACATCACGCCATCTAGGGGCCATGCGGATTTTTCTCGATGTAGCAGGTCTACTTCAAAAGATCTGTCCTACGACAATATCCCTCCTACCGTACTATCCCCGCGTGAACCCGGCCTCCTTTGTGGGGGTTATCGCAACGGTCAGGCTAACCTCCTGTGTAAGTTATCCCTCGACACCACTCCCGGCTCCTACTTCCCAGCCTACCCAACGGCCGCGCCAGCAAGTCGGCCGCCTCCAAAGGAGGAAAGAGGAGGAAACAACAAACCACCAAAATAAAATAAAATCCAAAGCAAAAATCCCCCACCTCTTTCTGCCCCAAGCTCAACTCGCGACCGGATCCACTTCCGGACTGCCCACGAGCCTTACTAACTCCGATCGTGTGGGCGCTCCGAGGGATCCGCCCATAGTGGTCCACGTGACGGGGTCATGCGACCCCCTTCTTCACCTCGTACTAAATCCGGATGACCCTACGGCCCGCCCAACACGGCGTCCCACAATCCTTCCGAGGTAACAACACCCAAAGGGGAAACAGACTAAAGCACGCGAAAATATAGGAATAAATCGTCGGAATAGGGGAGGGGAATCCCTTAAGGGGGGGAGAGGAACAGGCCGCGGCCCTACCGTAAGAAAAAAAAACCTTTGGCGTGGGTCCGTGTCATGGCTCTCCCAACAAAAACTGAGGGGGATAGTTCCGCGGGACCCTCAACCTCTCAGCTTTCGCCGCTCCGTCGCTCTCGCGCCGCCGCCCGCGGGCCTCGATCCCCGTACCTCCGCTGCAATAGTCCAATGCCGTAACCGATAGGGCTAAGCCCAAGCCTGAGACCAGCAAGCGCGGCTTCGCATACAGGGTGATACCGCACGACACTCCGGGCAAGGATACCGCTCCGGCCACTCTTTTGACCCACATTCGTACCCACGGCCCCTAAGCATCCAGGCCAGGCCACCGCCCCGCGCCGTCGCCGTCCCATGCGCCTACCGGCACGCCAATCCTACCGTCGGTCGCACGCGCGGACCCAAAAACGGACCTTCATCGCCTAATCAATCTCGTGGCTTTAGTACGGGTCGGCCGGCTACCCCGGCCGCCCACTTAATCAGAAAAATCACACGCGCGCCTTAAAATTGCGCGCCCACGTACCCCCTACCAGGATTAGGTAGACCTTGGCCCGCGCACGGACGACCTTCACATTTTCCCCGCACGGGCACTCCAAAGCCAGGCTAACCGAGCCTTTCTGTCACTTGCAAAAACCAGGGCGGATACCCTTGTAACGGTATTCGCGCCGACAACTTACCGCATCATATTAAGCGGCATTCCCGTCGCGTCGCTAAATAAAAAAGCTATAGATTTCCATCACATTTCAAATGCTGACGAGATTAGAACCAATCCGATTAGCCGAGAGACTTCAGGGTTGAGGCCTCCATCAAACCGTGCCAACACAACTATATGCTGCCAGGGTCTCAACCTGGGTTTCCGCTATCCTGACACCAGGACGCCAGTGTATTACGCATCAATACTACAGCATAAGTTCCACAGGCCCTCAAACCATCCTCTTCCTTTCCATCCTAGACAACCGCCGGCCTCTCGTTGGGTGTCCCAGTTGAACTCTCTCTCATAGACAGAGCCATAACTCGGGACGCGGGCTTCGAACGGGACCTGTGAAGGCATTCTTGCCTTCTTTCAACAATTTTCTCACCATCAAGCAAAATGCATATATATATAGCTTATAGCCTCTCTCGGCCCTTTCTGTAGTCTAGCACAGAAACGCCAGGTCTCCATTTGAGCCCACCATAGCCTGGTTGATCGGGCCAGGTCTACGACCCGCAACATTGTTACCTTCGTGGCAGTATCCTCGCATTGGTTATACAATGACAGGTACATCCCTGATAATCAATCAATCAGGGCTTCTAAAAGACTCGACTCTTATCCCGCGAGGTAATTTCCATGGGGCGGGCAACTCTTCTTAAACTCTTACCTCGCGGGCCCGCAGCCAGGTTGTGCCGGCTAGCAGCCATCCACTAGGGGTTGCGCCCAGGTGGCACTAAACTTTATCGTTTAGCTTGGTATTCTCTCAAATATGGCTTAGAATTAACACAGGTGGCCCGACGGGGCATCACAAATAATTCACGGGCACTGCGGGACTACGCAGGGGTCTGAAGGCATTTACCGACCCTCCAATAATAAGCACGGCATCCTTCGCTCAGTCACAAACAACCTTCCCGCCGGATCCACAAGGCCGCGGCCCCTGACTTGATCAGAGCCAGCAATCGCCCACCTTGAGGCATCTCTCGCCCTTTTCAAACACTTCAAACAAACATGGTTCCCTCTCGTCAGACTTTACCAACACAGACAATGCTTGCCATACCATTCAATTTTTACCCACCCTTACTTGGTGAAGGGTGCCTTTCACAAAGGATTTCCTGGCCATCCCCCTTTTTGTATGGGATGACTCCTTATCCGACCTCTTCCAAACCATGAAGGGGTCTCCATACAATGTAATTCCCACCTTCCAGAACTATGAAGGGGGTCTTAATCATTAAACAACTCAAACTGAGGGACCACCTTCTGGGTCCCTGTACAAACTTAGGCAACGGTGTTTAGTGCGCCCAAACATGCAAATTTCTGAATTCATCAATCCCGTAGGATTCACAAACAGGCTGCACTCCCCCTCCTTATACTCTGCCTCGTCATCTGCTCGTAAGCAGGTCGCACGAGTATAGCGGAGGGTAGACACCTCCACGATTTCATAATACACACATGAGATGCATCCTGTACATCTCTCACACAAAACCAATCATACATCAGGATAAAGCCACACATGTGAGAGTGGTAGTGATCGTCGTAAGACAAGCCTCGCAGGAACTCAACTCATAGTATACTCAGGGAGTATAACGTCTCCCTCAAGACTCAAACACAAAACCTCAACCCAAACTCTGTCTATCTGAGCATGGCTCCCGACCCCACTGTACACCTGCGGAACACGCTCGGAGACACAACATCCACTCAAAATCTAATGGGTGCCTAACCCTCTACCTCACCTAACTAGGGAAACTCATACCCAAGTCTCTCTTAAACCCAAGTAGTCTTTGCATCACGAAACCAAAAATAGACTGAATAGCCTCATATGTCCTACGGCCGTACCTCATCTCTTAAGTCGTGGCCCATGAAAGAGACTCAAGAAAAACACAGTCAACTAAGTATGTAAAATCAGGCAGGGACTTATTCTACCACCCCTAAGGTATGCACACATCTAGGGCCCCCTCAGCCTACTCAGCGTATACACAACTCCAACCCGCCTCCCGTGTGCAAACACTCTAATCCTACTGACACATAGGCAGATCAGCCCCTACTCACACAACTCCTCCTGGTTCTGCCTATATAACTGAGCCCTGCCCCCATCTGGAGCTCGCTCCACTATCCTGCCCTGTCTGTCATAGAACTTGCCGTCGACCTCCGCAACTCGCCCCTCGACTTTATCCTTGAGAAACTCTGGACAGTCCACGGCTCTATGCCCTTCCTCCTTGCACCAAAAACAGGAGGTATAGTGCCACCTGGCAGTCTTCTTCTTTCTCCCTTGCGAACTGGATGCCGAAGGCGCCTCTATGGTCCCAGTAGTCACCTCATGACACGACGACGATCCCATATGGCCCTGAGGTCCGGGCTCCATAGCCTCAACACCTCCTCCCCTTCGTGTGGCTGTGCTCCCTGGCCTGTCGTCTGGCATATCCAACTCTTAGGGTCCCTCCTCATGAGCCCTCTCTGTCTCAACCACCACCTCATCCCCACATGGTCCTGACGGCCGAGGGCTCACCATGGTGGTGGGCTCACTCATGGCCTCCTGCTGCTGTTGTCGCCGCGAGTCAGGCTCCTCTGAGTCCGTCTCCATGGCCAGGAGCCCAGCTCCGTCCTCAACTCTCCCAACCTCGGAGCATCCTCTGGAGCGTTAAGCCTCTGAGGCCCCTCCTGTGGGATGCTTATCCCCATGGCAGCCGCCAACTCATGCAGCTGCGAACTCCTCCTCTCCGTGGACATAGCCATAAACGACTTCTGTGTGCCACCCTCCTCTTCGGCTGCGTCCAAAGGCACCTCCTCCATTGGCTCACCCTGTCGAGGGACCTCCATGGCTGCTCCCTGGCTCGGCGAAGCCTGCACCCCTCGGCCCTCCCCACCGGCACCGGCACCGGCTCGCCCCATCTGGCTAGCCTCCCAGGCTACCGAGAGTCTATCCACACCGGCCCCCATCTCCCCAAATCTCCTCTCCCACTCAACCTCTCTAGCCTGGCTCCTCGCCCTCTCCTCGACAAGCTGAGTAGTCAGGTGCTCTACCTCCGACTCCTTAACCCTGAGCTTATTGCTGAGTACATTATACCACTGGAAAGATGTGACTGTCGTCTCGCATACCCTCCGATCCATGTGCTCAACTGCCTGCCTGATCGCGGAGAACCCCAAGTCCCCCATCTCCCTCAACTTACTCGTCTCCTTATCCGCCCGTCCTGCCTCTCGTGACCTCTGGCGGGCATCATCCCTCTGGCTCTTATACCTAGCCCACAACTCGTCGATCCTCTGCTCGCTCGTCTTGGGCTCGACTGGCGGTGTCGGCTCTATCCCTGCCGCCTCCATCTCGGTCTGTTTCGCGTATATCTCGTCCAGACGGACTCGCACTCGGGCAGACTTCTCTTCGCGGGTTTCTCTTGGGGCTCTTCCCGCTCGCGGCCCCTGGCCCTCTGAAGTCGTCGCCACAACCCCCATTCCCTCGCTCGTACATCACCCTACTGGCGGTAACTCCGCTGGAACGGGCTCCTCGATAACCGGACTGTTGGTCACATGCGTGGACAGTGGCAAGTCAGGAGGCGCCTCCATCCTCGCTCTCTCACACACTCCCTGGTCCTCCGCCTCTGCCTCCTTCTCAGGCGTAATGGCGGCCGCAGGGGGAGACTCCGGAATCTTCTCGCTGCCCGGCTCAGGAATCCCCTTTGGCCATGAATGTTGTGCTGGCTCTGGAACTGGGGAACATGGAGGGGTATCGTCTCTGACCATGATCACCTCCCCACCCTGAGGTCGTACCGGATCCGGTCGCCCAGCTGCCATCTCACGACCCTGTGGCTCCTCTCGGTCCTGCATGTCCGTCTCCATCCCGACGTCCAAAGGCTCTTCCAACGGCACATAGCGCGACGGCTCATTTGAGCCCTCCCCCAATCGCGAGGCCTCCCATCGAGATGCATCCTGATGAGTCGCTAAGCTTCGGAATGGCGTCTCTCTTGGTATGTCCAGCTCCTGCGCTGATGGCAATGGTGAGGGTGGTCTCAGATCCTCGCTCGTGATCCGCCGAAACTCAACTGCCCGGAAGCCACAAGCAGGGAATGATCCCTCTGCCAATGCGGGCCCTGCGGGCTCATCCTCCTGCCGTGCTGGGGTTCTCCTCCTCTCTCTGGCCAGCCCCACCTCTCCCGGTGCCGGTTCCCTCGGTCTCTTACTTCGCCGTCGCCTCTCAACCCTGGGCTCGTGCCCCTCGTGTTGTGGCCGTCTGAACGCCCTCCTAAGCTGGGCCTGACAACCCTCCCAATTTCGAGCCCTCTCCCGAATCTGTTTGGCCACCTGCCTCTCTGCCTACCTCATCCAGATAAGTAGGGCCTGTATCCATTCCTCCCGCGCAACCCCCAGACTCGACATGTAGTGCTCATATACGGGGATGAACTGGTCTGCATTCCCCTCCTCCAATCGAATGGGCAAGCCATCACGCCCCCTAGGGGAAGCTCTCAACCTCTGCATCCCGGCCTCCACGCCTGGCCAAGTCAGGGTCTCCTCACATATCTGGGCGACAGGCTCCTCGAACCGCCCTATACCCCTCAAGTGGTGAATCCTCTCCGCCACTGACCACCCTCTCTGTGCCACTGGTCCCGATACACGTCCAGGAAGAGCTCGATGTTGTCGTCATCGAACTCAGGCGTAGGCTCCCTCCTAGGCGGCCCGCGTCGCTCGTCTCTCCCCGCTGCTCCCTGGGGCCCCTGCCGTGGCCGTGCGTACCTCCTGCCCCTCTGCATGACTGCCTTTGAAAAGTCAGACCTATTCCCTGGCCATGAACTTCTCCAGCCTTGTCCCTGATACCCAGTCCTGCCACCCTGCACAATCCAGCTCCTCGATTTGGTAGGCCCCAAACTCCCCACACTGCACAATCCTATACGGTCCCAGCCACCGTTTGTCGAGTTTCCTAGACCATTGTTTTTCCAACGAAGAGTCATACAGCAGCACCGTATCCCCAACTTTTAGTGGATCCTTCCTTATTCGGGCCATTTGGTCCCATCTCATCTTGTCTTCCATGCGGCTTCTCGCTACCTGTCCAGCGGCCTCTGGCAACCTTTCTTCAGCCGCTCCCACCTGCCGTGCTCGTATATCGAGCAGCTCTTCAAAATAGAGGTTCACTTTCAGGTCCCGGCGCCTCCACGTCTTCATAAAGCTTTCTATAGGGAAGGTGGCATGCCTCCCGTACCATAGAGTGGCCGGCGCATACTTGGTAGTCTTTTTTACTGTAACATTTTCCACGAAGAATGCCGATCTCAGGAACTTCGGCCACTGGTTAGGCCTCCTCTCAGTCCACTTGGCAAGGAGATTCGTGATGGTACTATGCCCCCTTTCCACAGGTGCGTTTGCCTGAGGGTGCGCGGCAGTAGTATAGTTTGCCACCACGCCCTACCCTGCAAGCAAGGTCCGCACCTCGTTGCAAGTGAACTCCGACCCCCGGTCCATCACAAACTCTCTGACAAATGGGTAGCGCAAGTAATACTCTTCGATGCACCTTGCTAAAACTGGGCCAATTTTCGTGCGGATTGCCCGGCCGTCCACGAACCCGGTAAGGTTGTCCCGTACGTCGAAGATATAGTGACTTCCATCCTCCCCGAGCGGCATGAACAATAGGTCCAAGTGCAGAACTGCTCCTACTTCCGTTCCCAACCTCGGGTGCAGGGGCTCCCCAGACCTTTGAGCTGACCTATGCTGGCAAGGTATACACGACTGGCAATATTTGATGACCATAGTCAGCATTTCATCCCAATGGTATAAYTCGCTTATCTTCGCACACGTGGCACTAACCCCTCTGTGCCCCCCTGCTATACCATCGTGTAGGGCTGCTATGACATCGATCTGCCGGTTCCTCCCACACACGATCCTCTTGGGGCTCCCAACCTGTCGCTTTATAAATAGGTGGCCATCTCTTACTACGTAGAGATGCCTCATCTTCTGCGCTTTAGCACTTGCATCCCTATCTCTTATTTCGCACGATAGGAGTTACCCCAACTCCCGATAGATCCCGTCATATTCTTCAGCGCGGAAGGCCTCCCTTATTTCCCCCTCTTCGAACTCGTCATCCTGGCTCTCAGGAATAAGAAGTTCACTCTCTTCAGGACCAAATGAGTCCCTCCGGCTAGAGCTCCCCTGCAGGAGCATATTAGTGAGCAAGTACATCCCTCCGATTAGTTGCTCATGCTCCTCTGCCTGGGTTGGCCCTTCCTCTATCGTCCTCACCTCTTCCGCCAGACTATGTGTGTCTGCCAACGCCAACTTCATCATCCAGCCAACATCCCTATTCCCCCACGGATCTTCCTCTTGGAAGGGCTTGAGGACCAATTCCTCCTTCTGCTCGTACCCCCTTGGTGCTAGCCATATAGGATGCGCGACGCAGCTAGGCACCCTCAGCTACCACTCATTTATGTGGAGGCGGACATCCGCCTCCTCATCCAGGAACCCGTTGACTAGTGGGGTATCCTCAATTGACTCTTGGTTTGCCCCATCCCAGTTGATACGGCTCAACCCGTCCGCCCTGTTTTTGTCCCCTGGAATCCTCTCCAATTCAAAGTTAAACATCCAAATGTAGGTCAACCATCTCGCGATGGTTAGGTCAGATGGAGTATAACTTTTCAGGGAACACGCCAGCGCAGTAGGGTCCACCCTCAAAATGAGTCTCCTGCCAAAGATATAGTTGTGGAAGGTCCTTAGGCAATGGAGCACCGCCAGCGTCTCCTTTTTGAACTAGGAGTAATTCCTCTCAGTCGTATTGAGAGTACGACTTTCAAATCTTAGCGGCCTCTCCCCTCCATCTGCATCCGCCTGGATCAGGACCCCTCCTAGGGCAGTTGGCCCAGCGTTCGTCTTGACAACGAATGACTTTTCTTCCGTTGCCTCATAATTTGGCGCTCCCAGTACCAAGTCTCCTTCCCTAAACTCTCCCTTCATCCTTTCCACAACCTTCTCCTGGTCCTCGCCCCAGACCCATTCCTGATCCTAACGCACCAGCTTCCTCAGATGCTCCGTCTTGGTGGCGAAGTCCTTCACAAAACTCCTCCAAAACCCACAGGTCCCGAGGAATCTCCTCACGTCTATTATTGACTGGAAAGGGACTGGCCACTCTAGGATCTTATCCGTTTTCTTTACGTCTGGCCTCCGCCCCTTCTCGTTGCAGACAAAGCCCAGAATCGTGGCCTCCCTCATACAATGCTTCGATTTGGGGCCGCTTGCCATTAGGTTGTATTCTTCCAGCGGATCCAGAACCTGATCAATATCCTGGATGTGCTTCCAGACGAACCGCCTCACTCCTGGCATCACTTCGCCTTCCTCCTTCTCTTTTGGACCCTTGACCGCCAAATCGTCAATGTAGGGCTGACTCGGCTGAGTGATATGTGGACTGACCGTCTGCATGGCCCTAATCATGTGCCTTTGCACCATTGCCACCGCATTAGTCCACCCCTGAGGGGCCACGTTCATGTGAATCAGTCCCCTTGGCGTATGCATCGCCGTTACCGGCCTATCTCGCGGGTACACAGGAAACTGGTCATACCCAGAGTAAAGGTCTATAAGTGAGATTATAGGCCTTCCTGCGCATGACTCTGAAAGGGCGTCCGCGTTCGGCAATCCTCCCGCGTCCCGCACCGTCATTGCATTCAATCGTTGTAAGTCCTGCACCCATTGTAGCGTTCCGTTCGGCTTGATAAAACAAAACCAAGGGGAAGCATACGGTCCACTGGAGTAATCAGCCACATACGTCCTCATTTTCCCATCCAAGTAATCCACCACCTTCTTCTCCTCATCCGGATTCGGGTACCGCGCGCCTTTCAAGTTTCATGGCTCGTGTGGGACGGTATGGATTCTTATCATTGGGATCTTACCCACGTCTAACCTCCCACGCTCGTCATCATTAAAAGCATACGCGCAATGCCTCCTCTTCATGGTCTCCACCATCAAGGTCCTCTCCTGGGGCGAAAGGAAACCAGGTTCGCCAATTATCAGCCCTTCCTCATTCTCATCATTAATGCGGCACGGCCCTGCCTGCGCACGCTCTCGCATACGCCTTATCAGCCCTCGCTCCCGCTCATAGTAGGCTTCCTCATCCTCCATGACAAGCACGGGGACCGGGCGACACTTCTTATCTATAGTCTTGTACCGCCTTTGGGAGCCCCGCTTAAGCCCTCCCCAAAAAAAGGCCGACTTGTCGTTCGGGCCTGGGCCATCGCAGGGTCTCCTTTCCTCCCAGGAAACCGATAGATCAGCTCCACTTCTCCCACCTGAGGGCTTTCCAAGACCTTCTCCCTCAATGCCTTTATAGCCTCAGGGTCCGCCATATCGTGCGCCGCTACCACCTCCATTGCCTTATTCACATCATTAAGGCTTAGGGACAACACCTCGCCTGTTCCTTCCTCCTCCTATTCTCGGAGTCTTCGTCGCGCGTACTCGGACTCCTCGAAGGTAAAGGAGCCGAGGTTGAGCCTGTTCCTCGCACTTTCGGGCCCTGTGTTCCGACACTTAATAATTTCGTAATTCCCGCAGGCCAGATCAGATAGAGCCAGGATCATCGTTTCCTCGTGCCTGTTGAAGACTAAGGTCTCAGTTCGGCAGAGGAACGACCTCCCCAGAAGGATAGGGTGGTCGACATCGGGCATGACGAAGAAACACGTTCGTGCCCTTACTCTCGTGATCTCCACCATCACATTAGACGCGGTGCCACAGAAAATGGCCTTGCAGTTGGCGTCATGCAACACGCCATGGTCCGAATGGTCGACCTCCAGCCCCAACATGGTCGCGTCCCGCTCCCGGTTGATATTCATCTCCGCGCCCGTGTCCACCATTGCAATGCTCGGCTGGTCCCTCACCTTCAAGTCCACCAACCCACACGCCACRCATTTCCAGTCCATCCTGGTGCCCGCCTCTGTCCACTCTATCTCCCTGGGCAGGATTGAGCTCAGGTGGACATTGGGCACTAACCTTCGCGAGAGCCGCCCTTTCAGCTCGCCACGGAGCCTCAGGTGCCGAGGCCAAGATATCCTTTAAATTCATCAGATCATTATGGCCCTCCAGGAGCTTGTCCACCATCCGCTCCGCGTCAAAATCTTCCTCCAGCCGGACCGCATACTTTTTCCTCTTCGGCACACCATCATGCAGGCTCGGCTCCGCCCCTCCCTGAGCCCCTCTCTTCTTGGCCCTCTGTTCCGCCCTCCGGTCCTCTTCCTGGTGGAGCCTCTCGTCCTCCTCATCAACACCCTCAGCTTCCTCTTCTTGAACCTCTACCACTTCTTTCCTTCGTTCAGGCTCAGGCTCCCTTCGAGGAGGCGCCCGACTGGGTGCCTGGCTGGACCCTTGACTGGTGGTAGCTTTACTTTGGCCCCTGGTCTGCGCGGCCTGTGGCACCCTCCCATGCGACGTAGGGGGTCTGAAGGTCATCCCTGACCTTGGACCTGCCCCAGCCATCGCCACGCTCGGACACCCTTGCGGTCCCGATGACGACTCCGGACCGGACCCATAGAGCATCACCTCAAGGAGGCTCATCTCCCATTCCCATGCCTTCTCACACATCGCCCTTAGCCATTCCTATATCTGCCAACCTTTGCAAGCAGATCCTCCATCCTCTCCATGATGGTCGAGGCTGACTCTCTCACCACTTCCTGCGCCTCATCGTCAGACTCAACAACTATGGGCTCCTCCTTTATAGTCCCCGCCTTCAACCGCTGAGTCACTTCCTCATTTTCATCCACAATCTCCTCGACTCTTACGCCGGGGTCTTGCCTTTCTTGCCATATCCTGAACATCGCCGAGGCTGCCGGAGGCCCTGCCGCTGCTCGCCTGAGGGCTTCCTGCCTGATTCCTCCCGGGGTCTTGGGATCAATATGCTTTCCCCATCGGTCGTATACATCCCCATCCATACAGGAGGAGATCAATCCTGCCAGCTTCTCGTCTCGCCGCTGTTGGCAAAACCGTATGGTGTGGCCCACCTCGCCACAATGCCAACAAGTTGCATTCTGCCAATCGCAGTGGGGCCTCCCATACCCTTGGCCCCCTCCCTGGCTGCCTTGGCCACCTTGGTTCTGACCCCCCTGACCATTCCAGCCTCCTCCACGACCTCCACCGTTTTCTCCTCGCCCCCGACCGCCCCCTCCTCTACCTCCTTGGCCCCGGCCCCCATTGCCCTGCCCACCTTGTCCTTGGCCCCCTCCCCCGGCCACACTAGCTTGCGAGGCCTGCTGGGAGGGCGGCGGTTGAGCCACGGGCTGGCTTTGAGTCGCCGGGTAGCTCGGGGGGCCCATACTTTCAGATGGGCCTGAATAGGGGACCATGTGCCCCGCGTGGGTCTGACTCCCTCCACATGAGACACAGTGGTTGCAACTGGGCTAGGGCGTGGACTGACAATGCGGCACCCAGTGCCCACAAGTTGGTGGCGGCCCCGTGTGCGATGGTCCTGCTGGTGCTGGCGCGGCTGCGGCGACAGGCGGTGGTGCGGCAATGGCTTGGGGAGCCTGCCCCTTCCCTGACCCCTGCCCTCCCTGCAGCAAGTTACGCTGCTTCCTCTGGGTCTTACTTAGGACTTGGGAACCTGTCTCCCCTTCGTCGTAGTCTTCTTGCCCAGCCTCCTCATCTATTGCCCCTGACGCCCGGCCTTGGGCCATTGGCACCGCTTTTTTCTGTATCTCCGCTTCATTATCATAGCCCAGTGCCGCCAGCACGTCCGTGACTATTCTCTTCACCCCTGGGGTCCCGGATGTGGTGGCATCCCTCTCCTTCCTTTTGCGCCTTTGCAGCCTCATTTGGTGCTGCCCCACCTGGTCTGGACTCCCTTCTTCCACTCCCTTGTCAATGGTTGCCCAGGTGAGTCTCTCGCTCCCTTCCCCATACTTGGTTAGCTTTGTGGCCTCCCAGCCCGTAAGCAGTCCCAGAAATGTGGCGCACTGCGCCTCCTCAGAGATCCCGTGCACTTTTCTCACCCTTTTCTTAAACTCGTGCACAAACACCCCAATGGTAGAAAAGTCTTCTTTATTTATGGCCTCCAAGTCGGCCATGGTCAACAGGTCGTCCCCCAGCCTGTACTTCCTTCGCATTAGGTCCCCGAACTTTGTGCAGCTGCCACCAGCAGCATCCACAACCTTAGTTACTTCTCGATGGTGGCTATGCAGGACGTACCTCAGGACCCGCTGCAGCTTGACCTCATCTGACAGTCCCACCAGTGCCTGTTCTCTCAGATCTAACCAGTCGGATACCTTGTCCCCCTTGAAGTGAAATGTCTCGACCTTTGGGACATTGCTCGGCGCCCTCTCACGCTTATCCAGGGCATCGATGAGGTCATCGAGAGTCACAAGCTTCCTCCCACCGTTCGCCATCCCTTCTGGCATCTTGGCCAACCACCTTCGACTTCAATCTTCCTGTTATAAGAGACGATGGGACAGAGGACCCCACTCAGCGACTCAACCTTTCATGACCCTATCGGGTTGACCACCTTAGACACCCCACATTCTAGACCTGGCAGGCATTCCTTCTTCTACTTCCTTGGGGCTCACCTAGATAACACTTATCCTTACCATAGAACTTTCTCACCCACATACAACACTTAGCTGTCAACCAAGCCGCCAATCAATCAATCATTCATCCCTCAGTCATATAGATCATCATACAGTTCATCTCATAGTCCTTCTCTTATTCACTCATATGCCTAGTTTCTCTCTTACTCCCATACCCGGATGTCGTTCCACCAGGGACAACGGTAGGCTTCCGTTATCCTCGGCAACGGCGCCACCTGTCGAGCGCATCGGTCCGGCACCGCACGCGGCAGCGCGGGACCCTCTCGGCCGCGTCACGCAGGAGTTGGAGCAACCTCGCCACAAACACACAAATGGAGTTTTTTTAGGCCGCTCCGGCTGAGTGCGCCAGCCATACCTCTCACGAGCCCCTACGACAGGATAGGGCCTACGCGTGGCACAACTTACCTCCACCTTACAGGAGCTGTCACCTCCCTTCGGTGGGCGTATCGCCGAGCTACCAGTCCACAGTATGAAAGCTACTCGGTTACAATCGCAGAGGTGGACCAGCCGATGGCGTTTCTTGTTCCCTGTAGCATAGGGGGCACGCGCGGTAATACGCCTATCGGACCCGCACGTGAACCGACATCTTGGGGGGCTGAAGTCCCAAGCGCGGCTCGTCGCCGGTCGACTAGGACGAATCCCACACACCACGCGCACACCATTTTACGAACACAGAAATAAAACACACACACGCACACATACTACACGACACAACACAAACAACGCGACAACGCTCCTAGCCCCTCAGTAGCCATCCCATAATTTTCCAAGGCGGAAATCAGAAATGCGTCGCGCGCGAGACTTGGTATAAAACCGCACGGGTGCAGGGCAATCTTATATCGACTCGCAATGCAAACGCGCGCAAGCAGTCGCGATGATGACGTACTATGTGGTGCCCATAATCAAGCGGTCCCTCGTGGATCCGAGTACCGCTTATGACACCCAAGTGTCAGGCTCGAAGTGTCGTGAGAGTCTGATCCCTCACGACATTGCATGGCTGAGGGAATAGTCGTGCACCCGCCGTGAGATCTTCGGCCTTTGGTCTGAGCGTTTCGGTAGGCAAGGCAAATAGGCTCTACAAAGGGGCAGATTCCTTCCTTGAAGAGTCTAGGGCTTGGGGTGTCCTCGACAAGGACCTCGAATCCCGGCCCAGGACCAACGCCCGACTATAAAAATCTCCAAGAAGCAAAGGATAAAAGGGGACCTCATTTTTCTCTCAAGGCATAATCAGGTTAATCCTTGCGCATGATCACAGTAAGTCGCGCGCATGCCCAAGACACATATAAATATATACATAAGGCTTAATCATATAGGATGATCACTTCTCACAGTCATAGTGAGGCTCCTCACAACCATGTATACGTATATGGGGTCGCAGGCAGTCCACATCCAAAATCCATTTCACAGGACGTACTTGCAACCACACCAAGAATCAAGCAACAAAACACTCACTACACGGAGTCAACCCCAACCATTCTCTATGCTCATACCCCTTCGCTTTAGCCCTGCAAGCCCCACTATCAGTCCAACCAACCCCAATTAAATACTCAGTACCTTTGTCAAATGGTCATTCAATAAAAGTCCGGGTGAAACCCTTAACAAACAGTAAAAACCACTAGGGCTAAAACCTTTTAGGTTGAGTATGGAGGGTGAGTTGAGATTGAATCGAAGACCGAGGAATCGGCAACCGACCTGCTATCAGTGATAACAGAAGATGATCCTCAAGGGATCAAGCTGAATCTAGTCATGATCTTGAATCGAACGATCAAGAGGACCTGTAACACATGACAGGCCAATCCCCAAACTGAGATCATWAGTGTATGGAGAAAGCAACTCTATAACATTCCTCACTCAAATCCTCCTAACTAGCTAGGCCTAAATCTACCTTTAAGCAGCGCTCAAAGCAAAGACAGATCCAGGCAAAATTTCCCCTATTCAGGACGGATTGTCAGAATCGCCATCTGTCAAAATATATTCTAACTCCTCTAAATCAAGAAAATTTCGGCAGCGCTTTCCGTAGGAAAAGTGCCTTTTCAGAATTTATATCAGCCCAAATATAAAAGCAAAAACAAATTTCAATCCTGGAAAGCCAAATTCTGTCTAACTCCCTTAATTAGTAGAAATTTGGACAGCACTCCATTTAGAAAGGGAGACTTTCCAGATTTATACTAAGTCAGATACGAACTCAAAAGACAACTTGAGTTCAACATAGACAAGAATTGACTAACTCCTTAGTTTTTGCAGAAATTTCGGCAGCATCTTTTTTACAAAGGTGTTATCCCAAAATTCATATAAGACTAAGTTTAGAACTTTGGAACTAACTCTGACATCCCAAAGCCCAATTTTGTCTAACTCCCTGAATTAGTAAAAATTTGGGCAGCACTCCCTCTAGAAAAGAAGACTTTCCCGATTTTTACTAAGTCAGATATGACGAAAGGACAAACTGAACTTTGACAAGTCAAAGCTTTGTCCAACTCCTTGAATCTGTAGAAATTTCAGCAGCGCTTCCCGTAAAAAAATTGCTTACCAGAATTTATACAGGTCCAAGTATAGTGACGAGTCTCAGAAAATGCAGAAATCGATCTAAGTAAAATAAAGTCAGCCCAGAAAATGCAGAAATTGACCTAACTCCTATCGCTCTAGCACGTGGCGGGCCTCTAAAGCAACTACCTGTCAACCTGAGACCCACACCAAATAGTAACTTCACTCAGCCACATGCAGGTCAAACCACAAAGGTAAGTACTCTCACCATCCCCAAGCCAATCTGAACAAACAATAGTTCGTGATCTTTCAGTGAGTTATCCTCTCATACCCAACTTACATAAGGCATAGGTCAGGGTACCTGAACTTACAGAGCGCCCTCAACTAAGCCAGGCCCAAAGTCAGAATACCTAAACTTATAGAGCGTTCTGACTCGGCCAAGTATACACAAACAAAGAGAATAACTACTTCTATCTTCTTTGGGCATATGACTAGACCACTCTAGTCGCCCTGAACTGTTTAAATAACCAAATTATGTATAGCTCTCTAAACTTAGTCTTCAAAGGGACATAGGGATGAGCCGCTCAACTTAGAACATTGCTCAGCGTGCCCATATTTACCTTCAGTTATACCTTTAGTTATACTCTCTTCAGTTATGATAAGCTATAGTCAGGCTACCTAAACTTATAGAGCGGCCTGACCAGCCTGTTCGTAATAGCATAATAGTATAATATAGCCATATTATATCCCGGAGGTTCCAACATGTACGAGGCATTGGGTCAGACTACCTAAACTTATAGAGTGGTCTGATCCTCCGTCAGGTTCGTTTCTCTTTGATCCAATCTGTGCGAGGCAGTGGGATAGGCTACCTAAACTTATAGAGCGGCATGTCCCCTGCCAGAATTATTCCCTCAAAACAAAACAGGAGGAGGGTTGAACCACCTAAACTTATAGAGCGGTTCAGACCTCCTTGTTCAGAACCAAAGAAACTGTAAGAACCCCAAACAAAACAAGGCAACCCAAGGTACCTAAATTTATACAGCGCTTTGGGCTCCTGAAAGTCACTCACAGTCAACCCCCCATAAGTCAAAGCAGTCAGGACACCTAAACTTATAGAGCGTCTTGACCCTCCATGCCGTTCACAGCACCAGGTCTCCCCAAACTTATGGGGGCATCCCAGCCTCCAGAGCTTCAGACTATCTAAACTTATAGAGCGGTCTGAGGCTCCATGCAAACCAAGAATAAACAAAGCGCTGGGCTTCCTCAAACTTAACGGGACCTCCTCGCCTTAGTGACCAAGTCAATCTGCACACTATATTGCCCTCCTCCCATCCTTCCCCCAGATGCAACCCATTTCATTCAGAATCCGCTTTCAGACAATCGATAAAGTGAAACTGAAATTTGCTCATACATTCTTTTACCTCAGTCTGACTTATGTTCCAAAAGTCAAACTCAAGACCAAGTACAGGATCCACACAATACACTCTGTCAAGCGTAGAGAGATGTACAGATAGAGGTTATAGTGGGGTTTAAAGAGGGAATCAAGGAATTACCACTCAGTTTCCTGCCTCCATGACTCCTCCTTAGTCCCGGCAGAGCTCCCGCAATCGGTGGGGCAACCTCCCACAAAGGCCGTGGCGCGGATTACGGGCCACACACCCGCCTGCCGCCTTCCTCCCAGAACCAAAACCAGACTTTAGAGTAAAAAGGGCAGGATAAGAGGAGTAAGACTCTCAGACTCAGGGAACACACACTCAGACTCACGCGAGAGGGCCTTCGGTCCTTTAACGCCTGAGGGCCCCACAATGGCGGCCAACTGTCAGCTTGGCCGGAGAAGTCAACCTGCTGAAGTAGACCCTCCTGTCGGACCTTCTAGACCGCAGCACTAGCCCCATCCTTCATATCGCTATCTTGCTTCGCACAAAAGCAACAACCGCATAGCCCCCGAATAGTTAAAGTCAGAGCAGCGCGGCCCTAATCAAACAGCTCACGCTTTGTCGTAACCCCGGCAACAGCCGTAGCAGAAGGAGCAATCTATGCCGCGAGGCAAGGGTGAACAGGCATGACGCAGCCAACTGATCAACTGCAGCAGCCAGCGCAGCCAAGATAAAGGGCGTGGTGGTATGTCCGCGGTACCATAGCTCAGGTTCCGATCACCGACAGCTGGCTGCGGAGCGTGCCGCCTAGGGGTAAGTCTTCAGTCCTTTGACTGGCCACACGCTATCTCGTTCGACGACCAAGCGCGATTGGGACGAGCCCGCCCCCTTTTCTCTTCGACAGCCGACCGGTTGCTACCCCCGCGAACCCGACACCCACCAACCGAAGACTCCCTACCAGAATGCGTTGGCCTTACGTCGGCTATTCGACTCTTCCCGCCTCCGGTCTCTACCATAGCCCGTAACTTCCCATACGCACC